CAGACGGCGCCATTGATACGAGTGTAATAAATTTTACCCGACTCCTTTGACCCGAACGGCCTCCGTACCTGCAGAACCTAACGCCGGGGGTGGCCCCGGCGTCGGGCCTCCGATGCCTAAGTCAGTGCTCAGATCAAGAGAGAGAGTGTAGTAATGGAATGATGATAGAATGAGAGAATGAGGTATCTTGGCCCCCTTTTATAGGAGGAGTGTACCTTTTGGGCCCAAGTTGGGCTTGACCCCTATCGTTGGGCTTAGATGTCTTAGTGGGCTTATCCTCCAATATGTATCCGTTTTATCCATTAAACCAGGTCCAGTACAATATCCTATATCAGACACTATCGACAATTTCTTCTAAGCTTTGGACCTCTAAATATCCATCATGTTCATCTGGGTAATCTAATAAGTGATTGCCATCCATTTTGTTGTGGTAACCCAGATCATTAATCATTTTCTCAAGTTCACAAATGCTTTCTTCAAAAGCCACTTCATTAGAGCTACGTAAGGTTGCTTCATCCTTCGAACTAATTTTGCAATGTCGGAAACAATTTTCTATTGTCTCTTTTTGGACATTTACCGTCCAAGTTGATACTACAAGAATGATGACATCTTGAACATTAATCTTTTTCGGAACAGATTGTCAAATCTCAAAGTCTTCTAATATCTTCCAATTAAATCGCTTGCGGGAATACATCTTGAAAATTTCTAATTATCCCAGCGTCACATAGTTGGATTTTTTATGTCATGTTAGGTGGCAAAAAAATAACTCCACGTTTTGCAGTCCTTCAACATTTCTTGGATGGGCTAGACAATTATTTACCACCAACAATATTCTTCTACCATGCATTTTTTTGTCTAGCCAACGAACATATTTTTTAAAAAGCACGCTAGTCATCCATGCTCTTTTATTGGCACGATATTGGCAATTAAAGCCATTCATATCGATATTCTTAAAACAACGTGACTTTGCATACTTTTCAATAATCCATAGGAGAATTTTTTATGAGTCATCCTCGCAACATATGACAATTGTAAGTCTTTATTTGTCTTGTTTTCTTCCTTCAAGTTTCTAGTTGCAAGAGAATGATCAGCTTATAAGATGTAAAACAAACCAGTCTCATTCATATTGAAAGCATCTTTCTTAGGAAGTTGGTTTATTTTTTTTCCCCTTATAGACTCCAATTTTTGCTCCATGTCCTGTTTGTCAACCGAACCACTTTCTCCAAAACGACGGAATGACTTGATACCATGTCTCAGCTTGAAATTATCAAGTCAACCTAACGAAAGGTTGTGCTCAGAAGGCTACTGAGAGTATACAAGTTTCACCGTCTCCTTTGCTTTCTCCAAAATTAGCTCTCCGGTAATATTTACACGGCCTTGGTATGTATTGAAGAAACCACTCATAAATAACCTTCTCCATCTCTGGAAATGTTGCTGGTTTGTGTCGTTTAACATCCCCTCCTTTTTCTAAGTTAGCCGAAAAATACTCAATTGATGTCTTGATAGTGTTTGATATTGTACCTTTACTAACTTTCAAATGATATTTCATCAAGCCATTGTTGTAATTCTTTTTGAGTGATTGTGAAGCCATCTTTCCTATACTCACATAATGCTTTTCGTATTTGATCGGGCATGGTTAATTTTTGAACCCCTTTTAGATGAGACGCCATTGTTGGATTAAAAAACTACACCATGCATATAAAACACTAAAACATAAACCACATATTTATAGCTATACTTGTTAACCAAGAAACCCCTTTCTTAATGTATTTTTTACTCTTGTATCTATAAATTTCTTTCCAAATTTAATTAAAACTCTTTCCTAGGTCTACGTGCTCCTTCACTACAAACTACACTTGCCAAAATTCATATTTGCCAAATCGTGAAAACACTTTTTAAATTAATAAATTATTAATTTATTGATTAATTAATATCTCTTTAAATTGATAAAATTTAAATTAATAAATTATTAATTTATTGATTAATTAATATCTCTTTAAATTGATAAAATTATATGGTCCCAACATTATTAATTTATAAAAGTTTTTACTATATTATTAAATGGGTCTCAAACTATGAGAGTTTATAAAAAAATCTTTGCATAAGCTAAATTATATATCCTTAGGTTACAGTTAGTAAATCTAATGGTAGCAATTATCTCTTAAATTTTTTAACAATATGCTTAATGTCGTAAACAAGTAACATATTTAAAAAAAAAAACTAAAAAATATGACATTTCACGTTCAAATAAATTGTATTTTTAGTCCGGTATGTTTCACTACTTTAACTTTTTCGTCCTCTTTGAATTGCATTTTTTCTTTTCGTTCCGTATGTTTGAAAAGATAAAATTGGAATATTTTTTTTTTTCAAAATATAAAGGACCTTTTTGTTGCCAAAAGAACTTTTTTTATAATATTTTTCAAACATATGAGACGAAATTAATTTCAAAAAGAGAAAAAAGTTAAAATAATGAAACATATACTAAAATTATAATTTAGTCTATCACGTTCTCAAATAACTGTACATCAAAATCCCTAGATTCTCCTGCCCTGTGCACGAAACATACCCGCGTATAGTTAAATTTGGTGCCGGATAAACACAACAATGGCGGACACATCCCAGCAAGACATAGGGAAGAGCACCGAGTCTTGGGCCCAAACCGCCTGGGCCCTCTTAGAATCTGTACGGCGGGGTTCTCCCCTGGTCCAGTGCATCACGAACTTCGTCTCCATGGATCTCGTCGCCAACGTCCTACTCGCCGCCGGCGCGTCTCCGGCGATGATACACTCTATTGAAGAAATCCCCGATTTCACCCCCAAGGTTCACGCTCTCTACATCAACGTGGGAACACTCACTCCGGACTGGCTACCGGCCATGAAGATGGCCGCCCAGGTGGCAAACGACTGCCACAAGCCCTGGGTGCTGGACCCCGTGGCCGCCGGAGCCTCCCGTTTCCGCTTGGAGGCTTGTTTGGAGTTGCTGAAATTGAGGCCTACGGTTGTTAGAGGCAACGGGTCTGAGATTGTGGCTCTGTTCAAGGCCTCTGTGGATGAAAATTCCAAGGTATGCATAAAAAAATGTAATACCCAATTTAAGTACAATTGGGTCAGTTAAATTGAAGCAACCCTAAATACTGATTTTATAATGCTTTAGTTGGTCGTAGTGTTAAAGTTAGCTGGCTTCTGTATGTTCTTTTGGTTGTAGCAGTTATCTGATACCAAAATGTGCAATGGTAAACAAAGAATGGTATATTTTGTGATGTTCTTTTTTGTTTCTTTTTGGGAATTCACATGGTGTAGATGATTAATAATAGCAGATTTGGAGCTTTTAGTAGTTTATATTATGGTTTAATGCAAGTCTTTCAGGCATATTAAACCCGAACGACTTATCTCAATACCGCGTTAATTCAGCGAAAAAGACTTTGTTAGCTTTAGTAGACGTAGTTGGAAGTGGCAATTTCAATTAAGCAAACAATGAGCACGATATGTTACCAGATACAGTAATTAGGAAATACTTAACAAACAGAACATGTTTTTTCGGAGACAGAATGATAAAGGTGTGATTTGTGATGGTCTTTCATTTTGTGTGTTTTACAGGGTGTGGACAGTAACCACGAATCGACTGACACCGTGGAAGCAGCAAAATGTGTGGCTCGGACGAGCAGAAGCGTGGTGGCTGTGTCGGGGGCTGTGGACATAGTGACAGACGGTTGGCGGGTGGTTGGTGCCAAAAACGGGGTCCCCATGCTGCAGAAGGTGACGGCTACGGGGTGTGCGGTCACGGCCCTCATCGCAGCTTTCGTGGCAGTCGACCCATTGCGGCCGTTGGAGGCTGCTGCCTCTGCCATGTCTGTGTTCGGACTTTCAGCCGAGGTGGGCATGGCCCTGGCTGGAGGCCCAGCCTCTCTGCGTCTGCACTTGGTCGATGCTCTTTACGGGTTGGATCAGGCAAGCGTGGAAGCACGGGTGAGGGTGAGCATCCACAACAGCTGACGACTCTGTTCTGCTTTTTATGTTCTGGATAAGATGTCCTTATAATCCTACCTTTCATTTGTTTGCAATGATACATCGTGATATAAGTATACAATGTCAAATTTGCTTGCCCCCATCCCAAATCCCTACAAGATTTGTTTTGCAAAATTTCATATGAATTAGTTCACAAGTTGTTTTCCTTCAACCGAATAATCGCCAAGCTCTGGTGTTTTCAATGTGATCATTCTGGGTTGGCATCTGCCGCTAGGCAGAACCTTGAATTGCGCAGCTCGTACCTCCGCCTAGAGAGCTACGACTGACCGCCTTTACTCCAGCAAACTTGGGGAAACTTTGATCAGTCCTTCGTTCGCCAGTAGATATACGGTTGTACAACCGCAAATTTAAAAAGGTAAATGGGGAAAATTTATGGTTGTGTTAGGCCAGCCTAACCATTAGGTCAGCATATTCTTTTCCATTAGCATACTTCTTTCACAAAAAAATGTCATACTTGATGTCATACTTTAAAAGATATTATAAATAAAAGTATAACATTTTACGTTACTATACGTAGCACGTGCATCTCGATGCACGGAATAATAATTATAAATTGCATGTATCAAAACAATGAAGGAATATTGATTCTTATAAAAATAATTTTGAATATTAATATTAATTTTTTATTTTATTTTATGATATATAATAATGTATCATATAAATTATATGTTTATATCACCCATGATAAAATAGTTGTCATTTTAGAGATCTTGTTTATAGTGAGAGATAATGAAAATCTAACATATTAAAACATTACCAATAAATAATACTCACATAAGATTTATCTCTATTTTTCCTACCTTATTATAATATGTTATTTTAATTCTTAAATAAGTTATGCTAAAATTGAAAATTGTGAAATTATTATAATCAATACATAATTGAAAAATATTGTAATATATATTATTTTGAAGGTAAATATTTATTAATTT